TCAGATGCCCTAGTGGCATCTTCAAGAAGAACTTGAACTAACCTCGCTCCACATTCCATCCTTCAAAGATACCACTGACATGGACGCTGATCTGGAGTTGCTGAAGATCCGGAAGTTCTTACTGTTGATGGCACATATTCACAGAAGTACAGACTACCCTGCATTTAACTATTCTACTTTGATCCATGCTCTCTATTTAAGTTAAGCCTTTGGGGAGCTTCTCTTAGTTCTTGTGAGAAGACCCTACTTTCTTCTTCCTATTTTCCTATTCCTGAAGCCACAGCTGCCCCCCTCACCCCTCAAAACCTCTCCAAGAGGCAGCTTTCCTTGAAGCTAATAAAAACTGAAAGCTCAGAGCCCCTCTCAGGACTCTTTCCTGAAAGAGTGCACAGGACTCTTTCAGGCTGGGAAGGAGCACCAGCAATGGGTTCACCTGGTCATTTTGTTTTTTTCTTAAAAAGGACCTCAAGTCACAGAGCATCCTGTCCCACCAGGACTGGATGTTCCCGTGCCACCTCCCTCACTCGCTCCTGCCCACCAGCCCCCGCCAAAGCAGCAGGCCGAGATCACCCTGTGTTATACACATCAGCCACATGTTAGGGGAAGACGTCAAGAATTTTTTGTCTCAATAGACTGTCTTAATATGATGACCACATTAAAATATATGACCCCCCAAAAATGTTTATTCTGATTTAAAAAGTTATTCCTATGGAAAGTTTTACAATGTTAATAACACATTTAGTACATCAACTTCATTAAAAAGAACCAAGTTGTTTTAAATAAGACCTCCCCCAGTAAACTGAGACTAGTTGTATAGCACAATAAATAACCAATACCCCTGAGAAGCGTGGGTCTCAATCGGCAGTGATTTTGCTCCCCAGGGGACACTTGGCAATAACTGGACACAGTTTTGATTGTCATAACGTGGGAAGGGGGTGTGGGATGCTACGGGCATCTAGTGGGCAGAGGCTGGGGATGCTGCTAAACATTCTACAATGCACAGGACAGCTCCCCATGACAAAAAATTACTCAGCCCACAACATCCATAGGGCCCATGTTGAGAATCCCTGCCTTAAAATAATGGACACGTGCAGGTAAAGATGCTGGGATTCTGTGTGGAAACCCATTTGCCTTTAGAGAGCAGAAGGCCAGCTTAACAGGTAGCTCATGCTGAGCTGCTGTGTCACACATCAACCACCACACCAGGCTGGAAAGCAACAAAGGTCCCTGACTTTCATGGGTCACGGGACTGCACGGACCCTTGTCAAGGGTAGCTATGTGAGGAGGTGGCAGCATAATTTCAGGAGCACTAGGAAAGGCACCCTGCCTCCCCAATTACCTCCAGCACCCACTTGTCTGTGCCTGAAATCCTCACCTGATGGACAAAGCCCTTCATTCCATATTGAGGCTTAAAGTGCAAAGGCACCCCAATGCCCCCATCATCCCCGGAGAAGAGAACAGTGACCTACTGTTATATTCGAGAGGGAGTGACTGACAACAGATGGTTTTTCCCTGAGTTTTCATACAGTGAGAATGTCTGGGCAGCTGAAAGTGGAGAGGAAGAGAGGACAGGCGCCAGTGAGGTAGGGAAAGGGGGAAGAAATGGACAATACAGGGTTCTGGAATAAACGTCACCTACTCCACAGACTACACCTGAGCCTGCAGGGAAGGAAGGATGCAGAGAGGGAGGGAAAAAGTCACATTCTTGTCCTTCAAGGAAGTTCAAATCAAGCTCAGCTCAGGTGAAAAAACTCCAAGAAGGCTTGAAAGAACGGTAGGGACATGGTGCTATCATTACGGCTGGAACAGGAGACAAGGGTCCTTACCAGCTGTGAGGATCACAGTGAACCCTAAACTGTGCTGGATGAAACCCCCACCTGACACCTAAAAAGTCATGGACACAGTAAAAGGCTCAGGCAGGGCCTCTTAGTTGAATGAATGGCAGCTATTCCAGATGAAGCGCTTTAAAGATGATCTGTGTCCTCCTTCACACCTCTGTTTCTACCATTTCTCTCCACTTGGGAAGGAGGCCTTTGTGGCCTTCTTTGACTAGCTGAATCCCATTCCCTCTTGAAAGGCTAGCTCATTGTTTCTCTGCATATTTGGGCCTCTGTTGTTTTTTTCTTCCCTCATAGAAGTAAAGAGCCACCAAGTCATTCATCTGGTGCCATTTCCTACGTAACAGGCCAACTTCCAGAAAAGATTTGAGGGGGGATTTCAAGTTCATAACAATAATAATATAAAGAGTAAGAAGAAGAAGAAGAAGCTTTAAAAGAACTTAAAAAGGGAGACCAGAAATAATTTCAGGGGAAAAAAAATCATTGTACCAAGAAGCTAGGATTAAATGGTTACCAGGAATTGTTGGAGGCCACACTAGACATTTAGCATGTTCTCACTCTCTGATACAAGGAAAACCACAATTCCATGACGACAGAAATTTCTTTCTGACACTAAATTCTAGGAGGAACTTGCTCCTGGCTTTTTATGTATGCTGTGTGGTCACCGTATGTGTTTATCTCAAGAACTCTGTTAGATCCTTTGGAACAAAGCCCATATCTCTGATGATATACCCTTGATAACAGCCTATATATAACATTCTAAGTGCTTAAATATTTGCCGATAGACTAAAGACCTCAGTTCTCTTGCCAATCTGGATATTCCACTGTATCTCAGGATCATAAGATTCTTAGAACAATAGAGTCGTCAAATCTTTTAGCAGGAAGAAGCCTCAGACCACTTCACTTTGCCTCCAGGTCCCCGGTCATTTTAACCATGAGATTTCTAAAATATTCTTGCCCCAATTGCTGTCACTGGTTTGCAGTGAGGGGCTGAGAGGTCTTTGCTGGCCCTGTCCTCACACTTCCCCCTCTCCCCTCCTGATTTAGGTGACTGTCCTTTGCCTATATTTTTGTCCTCACCACAGATTCTCCATTCCTTTGAGTGGCCGAGCTTTGCCTCGCTAACCTTGGGTTCCCTGCAGTGCTAGCACGGTGCTTTTTGCAGAATTGCCTCTTTGTTAAGCTTTTTATTTATTTATTTTTAGAGAGAGGAGAAGGGAGCGAGACATTGATGTGAGAGAGAAACATCATCAATCAGCTGCCACCTGCACACCACCAACTGGGGACCTGGTCCACAACCCAGACACGTGCCCTGACTGGGAATCGAACCAGTGACCTTTTGGGTTACAGGATAACACTCAGTCCACTGAGCCACACCAGCCAAGGTTAAACTACCTTCTTTTTTTTTCAATGTAAGGAAATTGAATTGGAAAGAGGTCAAAGAGGTCCCAGAGTAGGCCTTTCATTATTCTGCCCTGATCCCCTCTGACAAACCCCAGCACTAGAGTAGAAACTCTTGCTATACCACATCAGCAGTCTAGAAAGGTTACAATGCAGGTCACTAGCTCAGTTGGTTAGAGTATCCTCGCCATTTGCCACGGTTGCGGGTTCCATCCCCATCAGAGCACATATAAGAAACAACCAATAAATGCACAAATAACTGGGATAACAAAGTGACGTTTTTCTCTCTCTCTCTTTAAAAATCAGTAAATGAAAATGATTTTTAAAAGAAATGCAGGTCACTAAAGGAACTGAAGATTCAAGGGTCCAGAGATATATTCTCTCACTCTTGTCTCCATATGGCCCCCAAAAGTGCACTAGGTGACCCTTCAGAGAAAAAAAAAAAAAAACACCTGTACTCAGTAGGTGCTGTTAAAAAAAAAAAGTAACAGGAAAGCTAGTTTGAACACAGCACATATTCAATAAATGCCTTTTAAATGGAAAAGCTTGTAACATCCACTTTGCACATAGTAGGCGCTCGATACATATCTTTTAAATTCAGATGATCACAGGGCTGCTGCCTTGCACATTTTAGGCCCTCTGTAAATGCCTGTTAAGTCAAAGTGCAGCAGGCACTGTCTCCTTAGAGAACCCGGGCAGAGGTGACATTAATCAAGTCCCAGGCACAGATCCATGAATGGAAATGCGCGTCTGGAGCTAGCGCTTTCGAGAGTGGAGAGGCGCGTGACAGTACGCAGCGGAGGTGGACACAGCGCTCTACCTGAGCCTCACACCGCTGCCAGATCCCGGCATTGATTAGCTATAGGGATCCATTCCCCACCCGGGTGGGAAACGGTCGCTGCCTCCAAATGTCACTTCGGGGACCCCACCTGGAGCTCCAGCCACGGCCCCCTCCTGGGGCAACCGCCCACTCTGGCTTCTCCTGGGATTCCGAAGAGTTGCGGGCAGAACAAAAGCAAAAGCCAGCCGGGCTTCTACCTGATGGAGAGCAGCAGGGGCAGAAGCTCGAGAAGACGGCCGGGACCCAGCAGTGATGTCAAACCAGATCCTCTGCGGGCGGCCACCAGCCTTCCCCAGCAGATTCCGGCTCTGGGTTGCCCAGCCCGGGAAAGCGCTGGGGCTCCCTCCCTCCCTACTCTTTGGGGCCCCCGCCCCGAGCCCCCGCCCTGGGTCTGAGGAGGGGCCGAGTGGAAGACTCCGTCGGGTGGGGCGTGGGCGCGCTGCATAAACCCTTGAACGAGACAGGATGGAGGTTGGAGGGAAGGAGTGGGGCAGACCCCACAACCGAGATCCAAATCTGAAATCGCAGGGCGAACCGCCCCTCGGCGCCCCCGAAACGCACCGAGCTGTCCCCGGGGTGGGGTTCCCTCGTGGCGCCTCATCCCTACATTCCCCTCCACCAAACACTCCTCCAGGGAGCCCAGCGGCAACCTTCCATCCAAGCCGCGGACCCAGGGACAGCACCCGCGCGCGGTCGCGGAACAAGGGGTCACAGAGGGCGGCCTGGGCAGTCCCGCGGGAGAAACCCACTGCTCGAAAACTCGCCACTTTAGTATTTGCTTGGTTTTTGTTTTTGTTTTTGTTTAAGATGGGGTGGAGGTTGCAGAAAGCGGGGAACTCCCCGGTTTCCCCGGAGCCGGTGGAACTCCAAGAGGGGCAGGCAGAGCGAAGAAGAAAGAAAGCGCAGGGGGAGCCACTTACCCGGGCAGAGCTGCAGAGCGCGGCTGCCGGACGTGAGCGGCGCCTTTGTCTGAGGTCGCGGCGCCGGCGCGCTCGGCCAGGCGGGTCCCAGCGCCGGGGCGCGACGAGCTCCCGCGGGCTTTCGGACGGCCCCGCTCGCCGCCGGCGCTCCCGCTGCGGCTCTGGCTCCGGCCCCCGCCCGCACCGCCCCGCGCGTGCCGCGGCCGCGGCTCCGCCCCGAGCTCGGCCCCGCCCCCGGGCCTCCGGGCCCCCCACCTGCTGCGGCGGCGGGCGCGGGGTTGCCCAGCCCAGGGTGGCCGTTTTCCTCGCGCGCGCCCCGCTCCCCCTTCCCACAGCCCCCAGGCCGCTCAGCTGCGTGGTTCCGGGGCGGAGCGCCCGCAGTGTAGACAGGCTTCCCGACCCAGCCCCTCGGAGTCAGCCTCACCTGTTTTCCGAGTGGAGCCCCCAGTCCCGGGAAGCCTCGCTTTCCTGCCTGCGGGCACGCTTCCCAGAGACCTCGGTCACCTTAGAAGCCCGTGCGCACTGCAGCCGGAAGAAGGAGACCCCTCGGGCTCAGTCCCGCCGGGATTGGGGGCGGGGTTGGGGGAGCGGGAGTCCCCGCTTCAGTCCCCTGACTGAAACGGCCTCCCGCCGGGTCAGCACCGCGCTGCTTCAGCGGCCGGGGACGGAGGGCTCGGGAAGGAGAAGGAGCTGGCGGGGACTGTATGGCGGGTTTGGAACCAAGCCATCCCCCGCCGGTGTCCCGCGGAGAAAGACTCGGGTGGGCCGGAGGCTCGCACTGGGCGGAAGGGTTGAGTGGGCGCAGAACCCAAGTGCATGGGCCCAGAGCCCTTCGCCTGGGCTGTGAATCCGTGATTATTTGTATGGCCAGGATAATCCTGACAGGAGGGAACCAACACTTTAGAAGCCAGAGAAAAGGAAAGCAGAAGCCACCGGCTCCGAAACACAGGCAATACCTGGTGTTTAGGGGGTGACTTCCAGCAAATCGAAAGTGGTCCACACGGATTAGCTGCGTGCACCCCAGTGGAATGGTTTTCTAGGCAGAGAAACATATGACAACCTAAATATCGTGTAATGAGGTCATTAGTGGGTTTAGCTACGCATGAGCCCTACTTTCTCCCAACTCTGGAAACATTGGATGAGAACCTCACTTTGACACTTCACAGGGTCTGCCGTGTACTATGGTTATTTCTGCTTCATCTCCCACCACCAACCACAACCTCCAGAGCCTCGTACAATTCCAGGTGCATAATAGGTGCTTGTTAACTGTCGAGAAAATTACCTGTGAATCCTATTACTGTGCTGATTATAACGTGGGCAAAAACATAAAAATTTTCAATTGTGGAATCATATACTTCGAGTGGGTATTGTAGACCAGTAATGGCTAATATGAATGGCAATGAGTGTTAACTGTAATTATTACGTAAATACAATTGCTATTAATCATATCATGTGGGTAGTGGTTTAAAGATTACATGCTAACTTAGAGATAGTTACCCAAACCTTCCTGGGCCTGCAAGAATGTGTAGGGATAAGGAGAGGGTGGGTGACAAGCAAATGCGTGTGCATCTGTGACAAAGGCATTCCGGTGCCTCTTTCCCGAAGAGAATATTTTAACATTCTGCTTCTTTAATTTTCATTACAAATAAGTATTATCAATTCAGTGGGTATGCATACATATGAAATGCTCTGTGTTGATTTATTCTTTTTTATCACATCTTTTCTAGGACGAATAAGAGGTTTTATCACATCTTTTCTAGGAAGGAAGAATAAGAGGCTCCAAGAATGATCATTTTGTCCAAAAAAGCCAGAAAGTCAAATGTCCCACCACAGGAAGGTGGGAGTGCAGGTCTGGAGACTCGAGTGGAGGACACCCCGAAAGCTCTGTCTCCCCGCTGGGTGTTTTAGATCAGTGTCTTGGGTCTGTGAAGCTGCTCTTAGGAACAATGTGCTTGTCCACGTGAGATCACTTATCTCTTCCATTTGGCAACTGGGAAAACATAATTCCACCCCCCCCCCCCCCCGTGATGAACGTGAGTGAATGGCTCATGCGCGGTGAATGGCCCTCCTCTAAATTGTGGGACAAGGCTGTGAAACGTGCATTCGGACACTGGCGTCCATTCCTGCACAACGCCAGGGCGATGAACAGGCACCCTCCATCATTCGTGCAACGCATGGGGTTGGTCTCCTGTGGGTGCTACTGTCCAGAAACAAGCAGCTTATTTCTTATTTTTATCCCAAGGGAAGATTCTTAAAGAAACAGCTGGCCTAGGTAGGGGTCAGTCAGCAGAAAATGACCACACAGAGCCCAGAGGTTGGGAAGGTCACCAGGTCATTTTAGGACTTCTTTTTTCTTTTTTCTGAGGGGGAAAATGTACCAGCATTTCCCCATTGGGGTGACTTGATACCACAAGCTGTACCTCAGTGGCGAGGCCAGGGGTGCCAACAACTGCGGTGGTCCTGGAGGGCACTGGGGCAGGGAGCCGCTGCACTGAGCAGTGAAGTGCCATGCCTGCCTTGCTTGGGGTATTTAGATATAATTTTTTTAATATTGGTAAAATATTTGTGTCTCCCCAAAACTCATATGTTGAAACCTAACCCCCAATTGTGCCTTTGGGAGGTGAGTATATTATTGGGGTACAGCTCTCGATAATGGGATTGGTGCCTCAGGACAGGGCACAGTTGAAGACAGTGGTGTAAGAACCAGGAGTCAGCTTTCACCAGACACCAAACCTGCTAGCACCTTGAGCTTGAACTTCCTAGCCTTCAAAACTATGAGAAATAAAAATGTGTGGCTCTGGGAATGCCTTTACTCACCAGCAGGGAGATGAGATCTAAGATGCAGGAATAGACTTGGGGGAAGGAAGCAACAGGACCTTTGGGTTGTTTAGATTTAACTACAGGCCAGTGACTCCAGACCTAGATGTTCACTCGAATCACCTCATGTAACTGAAAGCAGGTCCAGCTGCCTGCCACTGCAAGAGGCAGGTGCTGATGTAAAGGGAAGTGTTTTATTTTCAGGTTCTGGCCACCTGGAAGATGGGGGATTCATGTCTCAAAGCCCATCTCTACCTCTCAGTGGAGGCAGAGGTTTTACAGGGAGGTAAAGGGGAACAGAAAAAGGTCAAGGGAGGGGGTTGAAAAGTTCTCTATGTGCAGGTGAGCACAGTCCATTCCGATAAGGCAAGTGATGGTCCAGTGTGCAGCATCCTGGCTTAGTCGTCCTGGATTCATGTCATCTTGGCTTCCCATCATCCTTGATCTATGGTTGAAATTCAGCAAATCTCCCAGAGCTGGGGTTCCTGAAGGTTGGGGTTTGTATCCTTAGAAGGTAGTTCCTAGGATTCTTACACAATCATGCTGTTCATCTACAAGCCATATGTTAATTAGAGTTAGCACTTAAAGAAACAATATCAAAAGAATAGTGGGATGGGTTACAATTTCCCACCATACAATTTTCCACTGTTACGCTAGGAAATCTTTAATTACACTGGGAAAAGGAAGCAATAGTTGATGACAATGACTTGCTTACCAACATCTGTACCCATTTACCATATTCTGCCTTTCCTCCTCCTATGGTAGATAAACCGTCCCTGCTCTATTGGAAGTCACCCTCCACTTGTGTACAAGATCCCATCCCCTCTCACTTATTCGAAGACATCATTCTGTAAGTGCTCTCCTTTCTCTTTGCTCATTAGTTTTTCCTCTTACTGAGTCATAAGCAGCAACTTTCAAATATGGTTTAATGTCTCTTCTCTTTAAAAAACAAGACAAAACCAATAAGGGGGATATATGGTCATGGAAAAAATACAATAAAAATAAGTTAAAAAGAAAAAGCCCCCAAAACTCTTGACTCCTTTGTCTCCAGCTTCTCTCCCAATTCTCTTCTCCTTTTTACTACAAACCTACAAAACAAAACTTGCCTTTTCTCACTGTCTCCAATTCCCCTCCTCCATTCTCTCTGTAACCCATTCTAATAATCTCTCCATGGAAACTGTTCTTGTTAAGGTCATTAGTGACCTCCGTGTTCTTCAGACTTTTCTAACTTGACCTATCCAGCATTTGACATAGTTAACCACTCTTGTCTTTTTGAAATACTTTTTTTCACTTGGATCCCAGGACACTTCTGGCTTTTATTAAACCCTTCTGGCTCCTAGGAAGCAATATAAATGTTCCTACTCCAAACAGAACAGCAAATAGCATACAAAATTGAATCATACTAAAGTCATTTTCTACCAAATTCAGAAACAAAGCAGAAATGCTGGCTATCATCACTATTATTAACATACTTTTAGAGGTTAAAATAAAGCAATAAGACATGAAAATGAAATAGTGGATACAAATCTTCAAAAGGAAGATACAAAAAAGCCTTTGTAGATGCTATAATGCTACAATTGAAAACATTAGGACTCTAGATTTCTTTTTTTTTTTAAACCTACTAAAATTAATGAGAGTGTGGTAAGGTAGCTAGAAGTAATAGAAAGAATAAATAAAACCAAAAGGTGGTTCTTTGAAAAAAAGTAAAAATATATATATATATGCAAAGTCCTCAAAAGCCTGATTAAGGATAAATAAATAAATAAATAAATAAATACTATCAGTGAAAAGAGTAATATAAGCATAGATTCAAGAGATAGTTTAAAAATTATCAAAGAAAATTGAGTGCAATGCTTTAGTAAAAAATTCAAATTACTTATTTTTATGTTTTATTATCTGACATGGAACTCATAGTGTAGTGGGAAGATATATATTAAATACGGTCATGTGCCACATAATGACATCTAGTTCAAGGACAGACTGCATATACAAAGGTAGTCCCATAGATTACAACGGATCTGAAAAATTATCCTACCACCTAGTGAGGTCATAGCCATCATAACGTCACAGAGCAACCCATTATGTGTTTGTGGTGATGTTGGTATGAACAATCTGCTGTGCAGCCAACTGTAAACAGTACAGCACATATAATTAATTACACAGCACATAATACTTGATGATGATAATAAATAACTATATTACTGATTTATGTATTTACTATACTGTGCCCCTCATCATTGTTTTAGAGTGCACTCTTTCTAACTACATAAAAATAGTTTGTTGTAACATAACATGCTGTGTTATACCGGCAGCAGCTTCATACATCTCATGTTTACCATATCCCTGAAT